CATACCAATCCTTGATGGTTGATTTTCCTGGGGCAGTGTCCGGAAATTCGTTATCAAGCCAAGTTTTTGCTTCAACTGTATTTTTTCCCTTCAAAAAGCAATATTTTATCAACACGCGAAATTCCTTTTTATCCATTTTTTTCACAATAAGAAAAGTTGCTTCACTAAAAATGCTTTAATTCACAAACTAATGATCCGACAGCCGTCAAATTTATAGACGTGTCTTTTGAAGGTTAGGACTAACTGAAAATCATATGGATTTAGTTCTGGTGCCGACATCTATGTGTCAGGCTGGGGACTTTTCAATTGACCCTAGTATATACTGAATATACTATGATTAAACATACATACAATTTAGACATCTTTTAGAAGTGAGTTTTTTACCCACTACACACTACCTCAAATTAATGAGGGAAAAATTAAGAATGTTTTGGTTTAACTAGGATCCTTTATTAAAAATCAGCATTCTCCAACCAGTAATTATGTCATGGTGGGAATGATTTCAACGATCAACAAGGTACCATCAAAATTTGGACGGATTTAGACTCACCATCATCATAAGATCGTCAGTCCTAAGACTGGTTGGACGCGCACCTCCACTCTCTCCTATCCTGACCAGTTACTTTTTAATTTAATTTAGTTTTCTATTCTGTAGACGTAAAAACACATGAATGCATGACGCTTTACCTTTTCTGTGCCAACACATTCATTGGTAATTACACCTATCGAAAGGCGGTAGATGAAGACAACGACGATCTGATGGAACTGATTGGAAGTCATACCAAACAATTGGCCAAAAAATACGGAGACTTTGTTATTGCAGAATTACTGTCGCAACACAAAGATTGCGGCAGAAATGTCGTTGTTTGCGAGAAAGACGGTCAAGCTGTTGGAGTTGTCATATTGAACGAAGTGGTCAATTACGAACTACTGTACAACGAACTTGAACTGACTCCGTTCTTTGGATTACAAAAAGTAGGGGATGGAGATCTAACACTTTTAGATAGCTTTAAATGTGCAGATTAGTAAGTATCCTTCTTATCTCTTAAAATAGGAACGCCTGGTAATTGCAAACCTATATATAAATATTCAAAAAAAGATATAAGTGTACTTTTATTGTTTGGTTAAACAAAACGATAATGGGTAAATGACTACAAGTGTTTTAGGATTGAGGCGCCAGGGTTTTAGAAAAAAGAAATCGAAAATTTGAGAAAACAGCTAGCCTAACGTAACCCAAACATAATCCTGTCCTCTTTGTAGAACTCAATTCAATGAAAATCAATTTTTCACTTTGGGTTAGGCTTGATTTGTGTTGATGTGGATTTATTAGTTTATTTTTCAAATTTTTAATGAAGCACACTACAAAATTAGAGTAACCCTAAATGCCCACAAACGCCTAGGCGTGTAATAAAACATTTTAATCTGTCAATCGTAATGTACAATTTCGTTACTTGTTTGTACGTTTTACAATAAAGAACCTACTGACTTTCTAAAAATCTCGGTAATTTACAAAATGCCTAATTTTGCTAGTGTACGTGATAAGAGTACGAAACCCCTGATCAACTGTTTTTTATGAGAGGTCGACACGTTTATCTACTTCTAGTGAAGATGGAACTTGCGAGACCGAACAAGGACAAAAAAGCACCCAAGGAAATGAAAAAGAGAAAGATGGAAAATTAAAGGCAATTGTCACTGAAAATCCAGACTATGAATTTGACGACAAATCAGATAAATCCGATTCGGAAAGCGAAATGTATTCACTCGTCAACGTGTCATCGTTGCATCTAGAACTCGCAGTCAGTGAGGATGAAGAACAGGACACACAATACAGTGCAGCCGTTTTGGAACAAGACTATTCTCGCGAATTATTTAAAATATCGGAGCAAAAATCGGACCCGGACCTCACTGCCGAGGCTACGACCAAAGGTATTGACAACTGAAACTCTAGATCATAATCATTATAAAAATAAGTCTATCTTAACCTCCTTATGCAATATACAATTACAATTATTTATTCTCATATGCAATTTAAGATTAAATTTGAGGAGATATTTCAAAAAGTAAAAGACCAAAGCCAATAAAAAAAAGATGTGTGCTGGGACACATAGTACAAGTGAAACTTCAAAGGACAGTGGAAAAATGAATGGCAACAAGTTTTACGAGCAGATTGTTAATGTACTTGACCAATTTGAAAACCGTAAAACTTCAAGTGAAAATTTCGTTTTTCCACTTGTCCGTTGCCATTCGTTTTTCCGTTTGTCCGTTGAAGTTTCACTTCCACTATGTGTCCCAGCACACATTTCGTTTTCACAGGTTTACTGCAAATTATGATTTGGTTTTTACACATACCGCAAATAGAGGCAATGATGCCCAGCCACGTGGAGAGCAGAGGTAAGAAAACAACAGCTGAGCACAGCACACGCCGCCGGGACTCTAGCGGACTCACCGCTCTCCGTGCGGCTGCGCATTATAATCATTTAATACAGCCGTTACCCTCTCTCCGCCGCCGCCAGCCTTTCTATCTCTCCGCCGCTGCTGCCTCTCCCCACGCGATATACCGTGTACCCTCCACGCGGCCATAACGCTTTTTCTAATACCCCGTCTACAGAAGTTTCACTTCAAATGTTTTCAAATAAGACTAGATCTCAGCGTTATTCAACGTATCGACATTATTCAATTATCGAATATTTAACAGTTATGTGTATTTATATTTACTTATGAGCTGGAATAAGAGGCCTAGCAACCTTCGAACGTCGACCCCGATCGACCACCAGATCTGTCGCTCGACAACTTTATTCTCATGAGATACATCCCATACGCATGAAGGTCTAGTCAGAGACAGAGGCAGAAGCGGAAGTTAGGAGGGTAGAGAAAGACCTAGATTAGATTACTGTTCGCAAATAGTTAAGGATATGGGTTGCTCTAGTTTTAGGGAAATGCGAAAAAATTAGCTTGCGTGATGCGTGTCCAACCATTCTTAGGACCGACGAACTTATGATAATGGTGATGAAATCCTTATTTCTTTTCGTTTTTATTAAAAACTGTCATAAACCCATGTCCTTATTCGATGGGCACTTCAGAATCATAAAAATGAAAGGATTTTTGGGTTTTAGGCATTTCTATTATCTATTTCTATTAATGCATAATATAAAATATCTTTTTGTTTTTTAATTTATTAACAGTTGAGAAAAAAGTTGAAATCGCACCATTGATGAGCGGCGAACCGAATGCCTTCACCATAGAGGTATTTGTTGTTACCCCTACACATGAACGAATAATCACAATACCCTTGTTACGGGCCTGTTTCGAATGTTTCCCGGATCGTGACTTTGCGGTCTTGTGTTCTCCATCCGACTGCTACTACCGAAACCTTCTTCGCTTCTTCATCCAACCACCACCAAGGTCTGTCACTGCTTTCGATCAAAACGTGTACGTTTTGCACCGTGACAGGATGAACGCGACGCCATCTGTGCGCAAAGCCAAGAGAAGCGATTATGGTGCCATCGAGAGGATGACTAAGCAGATACCGAAACGCGAATTACTTCTTGATGCTTTTAACGAAGCAGTCGCTAGTGCAGCAAGTGATTTAACAGCTTACGTTCTCTCTTTGAACAAAGAAAAGATAATTGGTATGCCAATGACTAAATCTCATATTATCTAACAATAATTTTTTGGAAAATACCACAAATGGCGCGGTAAACGCCATCTGTAGTACGATGCTACATTTTAGGATTACGTATGCTCCAACAAGGTCCACTTGTGTGGATATCTACTTGCTGAAATGAATCCCGGCGTAGCTAACCTCAACGTGATAGGCAGGTTACCATAACCGAATAAAATAATAATAATTTTTTGATTAACATTCTATCGAAATTGCAAGACGTTTCAGGAACAACACCAATTACTTCTTACGATTAAAACTCATTTCAAACGGTTAGAGATGTGGCCTTGAGGAAAGCTGCGCGAATACAAAAAATATATTAGATGTGAGCAAGACAGAAATAGTTAAAACCAAGTATGATGAAATTAGGAATGTGTCACTGCTCATACAGGTAAAGGAAAGGGGCATAACTCTAACAGTTTAAAATGAGTTGTAGATATTTGTTACAATGCAAAATTCTGTAATTACAGGCTATTTAAAAGTAGTACTGATGAAAAACTGTTCGATTGTTAAATGTGATACTTCTTGAAACTGTTTCATCATGTCCATGCAATAATATTTGACCTCATCACCCATCAGACCACTATCATTCCTCTACGTACCGGTTTCCATTAACATCTCGTTCACCGCAACGCTCTACTTGCTATACATAAGTCATTACCGATTGTAAACGCCTCGCGATAGATATAACCATTTCAAATGTTATTATTTTTTTGGAGATTAGGAGTGGCAATCTTACGACCGGAAAAAGACATTGACACTTTACTGGAGAAGTACGACCTATCGAAATCGTGCAGATGGGGGACCAACATTGGTGCAACTGGCACTATAGAACATCTCCTACTTTCAGCGGTTTTTGGAAAAATGGCACGTTATTTTCTTAGGTACCCATATTTGTCATAGTCATAGTTTCATCCCTCAAAATAGTTATAAATACGTACAGTGGTCACATGTTAACAAATTTTAAATTGCACCCAGAAACGATCAAATTCAGATGGAATTGGTGAATACAAATCTAATATGTATTTAATTTGAATCATTAACTACAACAAAGACATTTGCAGTTTTAAATTCTTTGGGCTCAAGCAGAACTATCTAACAGATGTACAAATCTCAATATCTCTGCTAAAAAGAGAGATATTACAAAAAATAGAAAGTTTAACGTTTTTTAGGTTAGTTTACGTTTTCATGTGTTAGAGAAATCTGGCTGCCAGATCTTTTGTAGTATCAGAAAACAATCAAGTGTGTAAACATAGATACCATTTTCTCAATTTCGAATCAATTCGGTGCTTATACCATCAACTAGTAACAGTAGTCAAACACCATATTTTTTGTTGAAGAGAGTTACATCGGATGACTGACTTCTCCTTGTTGGCTTACTATATACATATCAGCGATCTTAAGCATAAGGAGAGGCAAAGGAATATAAATAACATACTCAATTTAATGGTACCAGCTCGTATAAGAAAAAGACCAGAAAAGATTTCCATGGAACTCGATGGCTTAGAAGAGATACGTGCTAAAAAAGTGCCGTCGACATCTGAAATACCAACACACGCTTTGTTCTTCTCTAGCTTGTTAATGTGCAGTCGAACCAGGTAGGTACTATTCGTTTCAAGAAGTTAGAGATATGCCCCTTCGCTTTATTAGTATGCGCCGTAGCATAATTCCAAATTCAATCATATTTGTCTGCGGAGCTCATTTCTCCACCGATCATCGAGCGAGAACTAGACAAAAGTGTACAGTACCATTTGCAAAATTATTTAAACTGCCTCGTTAAAATTTAAGAATATGCTTTATTTAAAAGCATATTTAGCCAAAAACAATAACAAGTGAATTAACTTAACGTTCTACACACCTGTAAAACTTTTGCTTTGTTTTCTATTGTTAATTTATAAACATTTTTGTTTTAAGAAATTGCTAAACATTTTCGTCTAGTACTGTATAGTTCTAGCCGATCTCCTAAGACCGCTGATCGAGAGCTCTGCTCGTTCATGCTTGTTCCAACTATTTCTGTCTTGCTCAAGCCTAATGTGTATTCTTTCTATCTTCGCGCAGATTTCTTCAAGGTCACAATTCTAACATATTGAAATAGACTAGATATTTATTAACACTTCAGTAAAAATAGATTCATCAAATAAGTTGCTAAATATGATTTGTCCTACACAAAATTTGGATCATATAGATGCAAAAGAGACACAAGGACACGTGTGTCCTTTGCTCGAGCTTTTTCACTCGTTTACGTGTAAAAGCGGCCTTAGATTCTGACTCGTTCCCAGCTTCACGCGTATCACAATCTGTCACATTCTCAACATTGTTGCACAATGTACTGTTTGTTAATGTTTTACCCCCTTTTTTTAATATTTAGATTCAATAACGGTTGGTTTTCTTCACAATTAATTAATTACTTATTAGACATTCTAACTGATCCGACGACACTTGAACCTTGACGAAATTCTTGTACAAACTAGAGTGGGTAGATCGGCTTGCGAGTTTCGATGATTTAGGGAGCTGGATCATAGGTTCAAGCATAAATGGGGGAGGGGGTTCTTAATGAGAAACCAGACTAAGATAAATCCCTGAAAGAGGGCAGGCAGCTCCTTCAGTACTTAGAGACCATTAGGATCAGTATGGCACTCTGATGCACAATACTGCAATGTGGAAGGCAACGGGAAACCACCACATTATGATTCCGAGTAAAACGTTCAACTACAATAATTACATGATGGCGTCTTCTGGGGTAAAGCACTCCGGACGTAAACTAGTCCCCCATTCGGATGTCCGGACGGGGACTACCTCAGGGGATATCATCAATAAGTGCAATAGGGGTAGGTGCAATATTTGACGAGTCGGAGCGTGGAATGTTAAGACAATGTGGCATGTAGGGAAACTGGATAATTTAAAAGTAGAGATGGATAGATTAGAATTAGATATAGTAGGTATTAGTGAAGTCCGTTGGCCCGAAGCTGGAAACTTCTGGAGTGGAGACATTAGAGTAATACTTACAGGATCGGTGGAATGTAATTCGGGGGTAGGAATTGTAATGCGTAGGAATGTAGGGCAGAGTGTAGAAAGTTATTAACAAAAAGACATTCTAAAATCGTCGCCATCAAAAGTGAAAACGTAATATTGGTTTCGGACAAGTCTAATTTATATTTACTTAACGTAATTTTTTAATAATATAGATACGACTTAAATTTGAGAATAGTAGCGGTGGGAGCTAGCGAGACGTGTATAGCCTTTTTGGAAGCGTTACTGTGCACCTGGGATCCATCATATTCCATCAGTTTTACAAATATAACAATAATATCGCCTCATGGACTCACCACCAGCGATTTGGATTATCCCAATAGTTCAAGAAAGTTGATGTTTCCAGGTCGATGTGAGCATACCTTCGTTAGACCAATAATGAGGCACTCATCCCAATTTCCCACAATCAACTTTAAGCCAACAGATGCATCTGCTTAGTAAAGTTAATTGGGAAATTGGGTTAAGTTTCTCTTCATAAGAACATGGTAAAAAAAGGAGTTGGGCAGATAGGTCTTGATTCAAATGTCCGACCAAGTCCATACATATCATTAATTTCGATGTATTTCACTTCAAAATCCATTTAAGATTACATACGTCTTCTCCATCTGATTTTATTCTCTGCCTGAACACATCTTCTTCCATACATTAGAATGCCGAAATGTTCTCATTGTAAATTTCTCCACAACCTGGCGGATCCGGAAAAAACCCTAAAACATTTTGATGACTTGTTTAATGTATTTAAGCTTCTTTTCACGAACGTCGGGCCCACATGATAACAATCCGCTGCAGCGTAAATCAAGTGTTTGGCGTGATGACGGCGATCGATCGTAAAAACAAGGTACTCGTTGTTGACAACAGTAGCTACTTAAACTACGATTATTTGTACATTTTGTGCGGCGAACAATTCCAAAGACCTTCGTTCGATCCTCGTAATGTTCTGGACCGACACAAGGAGGCCTTTCCCGACAACGTTTACATCGTGAACACTGAAACAGACGCCGGATACGCTCTTGATCATTTGTGGAAACTGATCAACGGAAAAACGAGTCAAGAGGAACTACTTTCTAGTAGCAGCTCAGACAGAAGCAAGGCGGAAGTCACCACACGTAAGTATGATGTGCACTTTGTTGATCTACAACAGCACAACACGTAATATTTAACCGTACCCACGGCAGTCAATTTAGGAAGGCAAAGTGCGCCTTGAATTTTGGCGTTGAACGGGGGTATGTCATGTTAAAACAAATTCCAAAAAATAAACAAACATGGAGGCCGGAATTAAACTCAGCCTGGCGTTGTTGAAAAGGGAACCCACCTTCGATTAATGTGATCATTCCTCAAATCTTTTAGATGACGTTATTGTTTATGGGGATGCTATTGAAATATATTGCTGCGTTACAGCTCTAATGAATTTCGGCATTCCCGGTAAGAATATTATTTTGATCGAACCTCCGAAACCGTGCCAGTCAGAAGAAAGGGATGTGGTCAGTAGGTATCAAGAGCACTTCGACGATGACAAAGTACTTAATGCACTTTTAAATGCAATACGTGACAGCGAAATTACTTACTATTGTGACGCCAAATTTTTAGATTGGAGATACGATGCAAACACAAACCTTATAAGAGGAGCCCGGTACGTTATAGTAACAGTTACTTTCCTTACTCTTAAAAAATACCACAAATGGCGTGGTGAACGCCATCTGTAGTACGATGCTATATTTTAGGATTACGTATGCTCCAACAAGGTCCATTTAAAAATATGGATATCTACTTGCTGAAACGAATCCCGGCGTAGCTCACCTCAACGTGATAGGCACGTTACCATAATCGATTAAAAAAATTCGAAGTGGTCTGTATTCCGTCGAAACTGCCAGACGCGGATCGCGATGTCGATCTTTTTGGATCTCATCAGCGCGTCGCAGGCAGCTCCGACAGAACACAGACCAACTTTTACCTGCTGTCTTAACAGTGCGTTTTAGAAGATACTACAAATGGCACAGTGAGCGCCATCTGTAGTACGATGCTACATTTTTCTAAATCGCACTGTTAAGATAGCAGGTAAAAGTTGGTATGTGTTCTGTCGGAGCTGCCTGCGACGCGCTGATGAGATCCAACAAGATCGAAATCGCGATCCGCGTCTGGCAGTTTGGACAGAATACAGACCAGTTCGAATTATTTTATTCCTTACTCCTAGTTAGTTATTTATTATGTATTATTAGTATCATTATAAGTTAACGGCAATCCAGATAGCAAGATTACGTTGAAATCACACTTATTCTTTTTCCTTGTCATTTTTGACCATAAAGATTAAAGAATATGAAACACTACTAGCCAAATTTTTGAAACGTGGTGATACAAGACACCAATTAAGACGTGAAGGGTTGGTTAGAGACAGCAGGAACAGAAGAATTGAGGGACAGGCGTAGATTTAGATTAGATTACTATTCTCAAATGAGTAGAGATACCGAATGTTCTAGTTCAGAAGATTACCTCAGAATAGAACAAAAAAAGTGGAGGTGCGTTTTCAAACAGTCTTCGGACGGAAAACTCTATAATGATGATGGTGATGCTCCAGCGTTTTACAGCATGATCCTCACTCTAATAAGACTTCGCCTACAGTGTATTGTAGAAAAAATTGAGGTTCTGTGCAGATGTCAACAAAAGCAACTGAACTTGTCCAAGTAATTTCAGGTTAGAAAGAAATGTTTACGTACGTTGCACAAAACCATTTTACACACTAGGGAATGGAAGAATTGGATGGGGATGTCTACAGTGATCAATTCTCAATATCTGTAGATATTTTCGGATGCAGTGGTGCCTCCTGTTCTTTATTCTTCGTATCGAGGGGTTAGAAATGGTGCAATGTGCGACGATTCGACGATTGGCCAATACCATTTTCTTCACTTCATTAATGTTTTCGTCTGTTGTTGACGTGCTCGGCATGCTCTTCGTCATTCACATCTTCTCGGCCCTCTGAGAACATTTTGTACCACCGATAATGTTGCTTCGGTCCAAGGTAGCTTCACCATATGCCACAGTCAACATTCGAAATGTTTCCGCCCTCTTAATTGTGTCTGTCACACATAATTTGATACAGATTCTTTTATCCATTTTTTGGAATAGGCAAAAATCGAATACGAGCCAAAACACGTACAAGCAAAGCAGCTGTCAAAAATTAACTGAACATTCAATATGGCCGAACTTGTCAATTTAAGTAAGAGACGTGAGTACCAACATAACGCCACAAAATAATCGAACATCGAATATACGTAAACCGCGGAAATTCTAAATTCGCGGTACTTTTTAAACAGACGTCGTATGCACCTACCTAAATATAACGTCATCTTCCTACCTGGATATACAATCTCCTAAAAAAATACGTCCAGCATCAATACTAAGTATTTAATGTAGAGCAGTTAAAACTATAATTAATGTCTTTTGTACAGTTTCCGTTCAAAGAAAGAAACATTTTACAAGTCTTGTATAGCGATGTTTTACTACTCGGGTAAAGCTGTAAGTTATCGGACATTCAAGGCCATTACAAGGGCCGGAATTGTATTCGATGGTGGTATTGTTATAAATGCCAACTATGAAACCAACGATCCATTTATTTATGCTGCCGGAACAATCACGAAGTATTCCAGAAAATATTACGCTGAACATTTAGCTCACAGGTAACAAAAGCAGTTTTTAACTTATACAGAAAATAGTACACATCGAAAGAAGTTTTCTTTCTCCTTTCTGTATAAACTGATGATTACAAACGAAAAATAATATTAAGTTTGCTAAATAAATATTTCATTAGTAAATTCAACATATCCAACCCTTCAACTATTTTATATGACAAGTAATTCATCGAGACTATCGGTTTTTTTGGCGAAGATGTCAATTTCATAAGTTTCACAACTATCAACACCATTTTCTTTAAATGTCATGACAACCTTGCATATATGATAGAAAATTTTAACAAAAACATAAGTATCAGGTTAATATAACAAGACCAAAACTTAACACGCAAGACCAAGACCAAATAAGCAAGGTCAAGGCCAATACCAAGACTGGAACGGTCTTGATCTTGATCTTGCTTGTGTAAATTGATGATTACACACAAAAAATGATATTAAGTTTTCTAAATAAATAACAGGTCAATTGAAAAGTCCCCGGCCTAAAATAGTAAAACACATTTTTTTTTTGCAAAATTCGTTTTTTTTATTCAACATTATTCCCTTCAAGGGTGATTCACTGATTATAGCGATCCTTCAACTTTTCGATACCATTTTTGTAGTACGATTTGTTCTCAGATAGGCCTCAGTTTCGGCGATCACCTCTTCATTCGACGAAGGAGACGAGGAAGTAGTCGCTGGGGGCCAGATCTGGAGAATACGGTGGATGCGGAAGCAATTCGAAGCCCAATTCATGAATTTTTGCCATCGTTTTCACTGACTTGTGAGACGGTGCATTGTCTTGGTGAAGCAGGACTTTCTTTTTCTGCAAATGCGGTCGTTTCTCGGCAATTTCGTCCTTCATACGGTCCAATAACGCTATGTAATAGTCGCTGTTGATGGTTATTCCTTTTTCAAGGTAGTCAATGAAAATTATTCCACGCGCATCCCAAAATACAGACGCCATAACCTTACCAGCCGACTGTTGCGTTTTTGCGCGCTTTGGAGCGGGTTCATCGTGTGCAGTCCACTCCGATGACTGTCGATTGGACTTCGGAGTGAAATGATGGAGCCATGTTTCATCCATTGTCACATATCGACGCAAAAACTCGGGTTTATTACGCGTGATCATCTTCAAACACTGCTCTGAATCATCAACTCGTCGTTGTTTTTGGTCAAAAGTGAGCTCGCGCGGCACCCACTTTGCACAGAGCTTTCTCATACCCAAATATTCGTGAATTATGTGATGTATACGTTCCGTTGATATCTGTAGAGTGTCTGCTATTTCATTCAATTTCAATTTACGGTCATTCAAAATCATTTTGTGGATTTTTTTAATGTTTTCGTCCGTAACAACCTCCTTTGGGCGTCCACTGCGTTCACCGTCTTCAGTGCTCATTTCACCGCGTCTAAACTTAGCATACCAATCCTTGATGGTTGATTTTCCTGGGGCAGTGTCCGGAAATTCGTTATCAAGCCAAGTTTTTACTTCAACTGTATTTTTTCCCTTCAAAAAGCAATATTTTATCAACACGCGAATTTTTTTTTTATCCATTTTTTTCACAATAACAAAAGTTGCTTCACTAAAAATGCTATAATTCACAAACTAATGATCCGACAGCCGCCAAATTTATAGACGCGTCTTTTGAAGGCTAGGACTAACTGAAAATCATATGGATTTAGTTCTGGTGCCGCCATCTATGTGTCAGGCCGGGGACTTTTCAATTGACCCTATACTTTATTAATAAATTAAATCCAACTGTTCAACTAATTTAAGGGCAATTTCGATTTGATAAGGAATTTATCAAAACTATCTATTTTTTTTTCGCGTAGAGGTCAATTTCATAACTTTCACAACTATCAACACTATTTTCTCTTAATGTTATGAAAAGCTTGCATGTATGAGCGAAAGTTTTAGCAAATAAGTATCAGATTGAATCAGGAAGACCAAGACTTAACACGCAAGACCAAGGCCAATACCAAGACTGGAACGGTCTTGATCTTGATCTTGCTTTGCTCATCACTAATTGTGCAATATGTTTGGATTTTTCTTCTTTTTGGCAGATCCACGTGGTTAACTTAGAGATTCAGCTAACCGTTAAAAAATTCACAAAACAGGACTATAAATAAAAATTGTATATTTAAATACATACTGTACTTATGTAGATATTTTAATCTGGAGGAGGTCGGCTTCGATTTGGGAATTAAAGCCAAAAACCAATTCATCTCCCGTTATGGTGTACAACATGAACTTGACAAGGGCACATTTTTGAAATGTGAAAACTATCAAACTGTACGCATCTTCGAAAAACCGTTACTGACCTACTGTAAACTACCAGGAGGCTTATGGTACCTGAATGTATCGAAACCGGGAAGAAGAGTTAGTCCAGACATAACTAAAGCTCTAAATCAGTACGTAAGTATCTTTAAATGAAACATCAGATGGGGTTAGGACGTTAACAACTATACTTCATTTACTTTCTCTAGCGATGTGCCCCTTCCAGTGTTTTGGATGCGCGCTGGCAAAATCGTAGGCAGGGAGAAAAAAACTCATTATACTCTCGAATCTTGTTCATTAAACTTTTTCATAGAGTACTTGCCAAAAGTTTTGTTCAATCATGAATAGTAGTGCGAGTCGAAAACAAGCGTTAAAGCCATTAACATGTCTCCAAATATAAATAAACATCTCAACACCAAATAAAATAATTTGAAGTGGTCAGTATTCTGGCGAAACTGCCAGACGCGGACCGCGATTTCGATCTTTTAGATCTCATCAGCCCATCGCAGACAGTTTCGACAGAACACAGACCAATGTTTACCTGCTGTCTTAGCAGCGCGTTTTATAATATACCACAAATGGCGCGGTAAACGCCATCTGTAGAACAATGCTACATTTTAGGATTACGTATGCTCCAACAAGGTCCATTTAAATATATGGATATCTACTATTTGTGGTATATTATAAGACTCTCAGCACGACTGAAGGAGATTCTTTTCTTACTGGCTGGCCTAGTCCTTCTTAACCTAACCTAACCTAGCCTAGCATTTACTAAAATTGTATTGGTTTTCTGAAATGTCTAGTAATATACTAATTTAAATTTGAAAACAAACTCAAATTGTCAATTAATTTATCCCAATTGATGCCCAAAACATAGTAATAAGTTAAGAAAATATTTTCAAGGGACAAGACTTAATTACTGGAGATTGCAATTCACTACAAAAACAAGGATACTTCAAAATTCATCTAAACGTTCATGAAACTATTGAATCCATCACATGTCTAACACTTTCTGTAAGTAAAGTATATAAGTAGTATTACGTATGATTTTTTACCCATTTTATGGATCTAGATTGAAAACTTGTTAGTTCTCATTAGCACACCCTATCTGGAGGTTTCGATAAACTGCTAAGCAAGAAATTCACGTTATTTATATATAGAAATTGGTATTAAACTAAAATTTATTAATTTCAAAAACTTATAATTTGAACTATCCTATTAGCAGATTGCAAGAAACTACCACTACTTCTGGAAACTCCTTTTTTGGATTACCTATTAGCTAGCATCCATTTCAGTTATTGTAAAATTCTCGTTAAAACAAAGCTTACTAATGTTACTAACCATTTATTTAAAGAAACCAAGTATCTAACTAATCATATGCATAAGACACCTACTGCTACTACTATCAATCTAATAAAACCCATCTTTCTAATATTTATTAGTGTGAAAATTCATTTTTAATTTTTTATCCATTACAAACTACCTCAGGTTAATGAGGAGAAAATTATTAAGTAGTAGGCATGATTTGTCGTGGTTGCTGTTGTCATCTCTTGTAGCCTAATTGTCAGAGCAGTGGTACGTAAAGCAAAAGATCCCGAGTTCGATTCCCGCGAGGGTGTGACCAACAACAACAAAAAAATTCCCTCATTAACTAGTGTGGATAAAAAATTGAAAATGAATTTTTACATTAATATTTCATATTAACCACTATTAGCAATTAATATCTCAGCCCTTCACTTTCTGCATATAGGGAAACTTTCTAACTCATGCACTTGATAATTAATATAGGTACATGTAACAATCATTCTGGTGGATTTGTGATTTATTATTAAATCTCTGAGCAGGTACTTTTCTGAAAGTAACCTCGCTGTTGTCATTAAATAATTTTCAGGAGATTGACAAAAACAACTTGTTTTCACTTTGGGGTAAACACGAGAAGATATTAAACAAACTCTTAACGAGATACGAAATGGGGTTGATCAAGGACCTTTTCGAATATTTCCGACAGCCATGGGCTGCGGCTCTCTACCAAGACGACTTCGCAGAACTTTATAACAATATTTCTCGAATATTGCACGAAAAGCCTGTAAGTGTTTTGAAAGCAAATAAATCAATTGTTATCAATGGTTTCTGGGAAATATTTAAAACTCTATTTTCCTGAGAATCTTGAAACATCCATGTTTTCAATACTTCAAAGCAAATTTCTCCTAGAAACCAAAAACTCAAAGAATTCACTTCAAGATAAATTGTATTATAAAATTTTATTTGCTTTTTAGTCTTACTTCCTGAAAAAGACATTAACAGACCATATTATAGAAAGCCATAGAGCCAACAACTGGAAAAAGGTAAGAGTAGGAGTATATCTAAAAACTAGAATTGTGCATTCTGAAAAAACTTACCAACGTACAATATCTTGATCAATTATACAGTTATTCAGTTGCACCATATGTTTACAACATTCGATGATAAAAATAAAGGTCATAACAACATTCACTTCGCCGATATTGCCTTTTCGTACCCTACTAACGTAATGATCCTAAACAATAAAAAACAGTATTCTTCTTCGGTTAATATATTTATTAATAGAAAATGAGGTAAAGGTCTAGATGATGGCCCCCACCCCCTTCGGGGGGGGAGATGGGTTTGATCGAAAGAGGGTNGCGGTCTCACCCCCATAAAAAGTTATGGGGGTTCAAAGTTAATAAATATGCCAATTTTTATACATTTCTAGGCATGTAAATGTTTATATAGTCATTCTTAAACAATATTCAAAGGTAAAACTAATGAAAAATTCATAAAAATATTGAGAAAGTTAAATAAAACATTATTTAAATATCTTTATCAATAAGGTAGGTTAGGTTAGGTTAGGTTAGGTTAGGTTAGGTTATCGAGTTTTGTTTAAGTGACCACCCTCTTTCGATCCGCCCTACCCCACCCCCATCTAACCCCCCTAACTCTTTATGGGGGTGAGACCGCCACGAACTTTTTATAGTATAGTGGTGTGGGAGACCTCCTCCTTCGATCTCACCCATCTAGACATTTACCGAAAATGATCTTAGTAAAAGGTAAATAAATATTAATTAAGAAAAACAGCAAGTCGGACCCGGCCGCATGGCAGTCAACCATCTATGCCACTGGACCATTACCGTTAATCAGAAATTTGTAATGACCACACGTTTTGTTTGTTTATCGAACACGATGTTAGTCTCTGTCTGACATTTATCAGCTAATTTTCGGCAGAGAGAGAGCAGGTACTATTCCACCACGTATCCACAAATTTGTGATTTTTGACGAAATGGAAAAACTTACACTATTAAAATAAATAACCACGTGAAAGTATGCTTACTTACCTAACCTTTCAATTCTTCTACCTGATGAAATTTGTGGGAATTCACAAGAAAATTATTTAAAAAAAAAAGAAAAATCATACAACAAAATTGCTTTATCTATGAATTAAATTTTTATTTTACAAATAACTTATTTTTGTTATTAATTCGTTTATTTAACAAATTTTTGATTCCCTTATTTCAGTTTAATGAAGATATCCGTGACGAAATTCAGGAACTCTTTATGAACACAGAATATCCACAGTTAATTGAAAGAGAGGTCGTTAAACACATAATAAAACATCGATCTACTTTGCCCATGTACTTTAATGAAGTTGATGATGCTTTACAAAAGCCGTCCAGTCCTTTATTCGACCCGGACTAATAAAGAATAAAAACAAATTGGAATTTTCTTTTCTTTGAATAATTCTTATTCGCCTGAAATGTAGGTAAAACAATAAACCAAACACCGGAAGGAATGAAGTTTCTTACACAATATTAATTGTCTATATAATTAATCCATCTATAATCGACATAATTCAATTATCGAATATTTGTCTATTGATTTTATTTACATTTACTTGTGACCTAGAGTAAAAGGCCTAGACCTCGATCGACCGTCAGATTTTCTCTAGACGATTCCATATGGACGATCAAATTAGTATTTTCAGTACTAAAAATTGAGACTTTTGATTCCCAATTGTTCAACATTGAATCTTGAAAATCATCAATTTTTCTTCTAAATTATTAAGATTCAAAAAAGTTGATCTACCACTTGCAGATGATCAGCTAGAAAATATATTTTTGAGTAATAATAAATTGAGAGATAGTTTCAATTAATTGTAAAGAGATGGGTCAGAGATTTGTCATTTAGAACAGGAATGGAATTGAAACGAAATTTGTTAACAAGGAGGAGATTCACTTTCATGAAAATCTTGATCTTCAATAGTTTTTCCGACTGAGTAATTTCTATCCTATTCCGACGATCGACACTATAATCGCAATTTGAAAAACGATTTATAGGAATGAAGATTAGGACAATTTAAACTTTTGAAGAGTTAAATTCAATGCATTAATGAATTAATTTTTTGAATTAACTTTTGCACACCTTAGATAACCTCAAATAAATGAAGAAAAATTGTTGCTACTGTCATTCCCTCGCCGGGAATCGAAGCCAGGCCCCTTGTTTTACGCCCCAGTACTCTACCGCTAAGCTACGAAAGCTTTTGAGGTTATCTGTGGTGGATCTTTTTTCCTAATTAATTTGAGGTTATCTGTATTGGATAAAAATTAATTCAAAAAAATAATTCATTAATACATAGAATAAACATTGTTTTAAATACTTATCAAGTCGTGAAACATCAAGTTCTAACAAGTTAATTGTACGTCGAACTGGAATATTCAGATTTTGCAAAAAAAGATCAGTTCCATGAAAGAAGCAAAAGAATTGACTGTTAGTTGTTATTGTCATTCTTTCGGCTTATTATATGATTTTTTTTTAATTTCAGTATTAATTAATTTACACTCTACTGACAAAATCTAAAATTCATTAAATTCGCGACGAACATTTACGACAGAAGTATACATAAATAATATTTCAGAAAACAACATTTCTTATGCAATACGTAAGTGATGATAGTTCATCCTTGAAAATTTAAATAACGAAGCAAACACATACATATATTGATGGTCTTATATACGTAAATTAGTTTGTACCTAGACCGATCTGAAGTACANATTAAATACAATATTGATGTAGCTAACAAAATAGTATAGATTTTTTGTTCTGTTTATCGTAGACGCCATTAACAGTTTTTTTTGAAAGAAGAGAAATCAAGGCCTCATATACATAAAAAAGAAGTAAAAAAGTCAAAATAAAATAAATAAATAATAAAAAAGTTACTTAGCTATGATATATCGTCATCTTTTATAAGGATAAAACAAAAATCTAAGAATTGCCAAGTGATATGCATAAACAGTCAACAATGCGTTTAAATATCCACAATACAAACTTACTTTAAATAATAAACCTTTATATGGAAGCGGTGTTGACTAAACAGTATTGTATGGAAATTAAATGTAAAGATAGGATACGAAAGAAGAGAAGAAAGGGTTGATTTTAGTTATCTGGGAAGTCAGATAAGGAAGGAAAGTGTAGTAGAGATATAAAACAGAGCGTAGCACAGGGTCGTGTCGCCTTTAATAAAAAGAAGTCACTTCTATGCTCGCGAACGATTAATTTAGAAATTCGAAAAAGATTGTTAAAGGTGTATGTTTGGAGCATGGCGTTGTACGGGTGCGAAACACGGACAGTGGGCGCGGCGGAAAAGAAAAGGTTAGAAGCGTTTGAAGTGTGGTGTTACCGGCGAATGATGTGGATACCGTGGACAGAGTAGGTCAGGAATGAAGAGGTATTAGAAAGAATAGGAGAACAGAGGACTCTATAGAAGTCAATAAAAATAGGCGAAATAGGTTGATAGGACACCATCTCAAGCATGAAGGTCTAGTCAGAGACATACTAGAAGCAGAAAAAAGAGTTAAGAAGTGTAGAGATAGACCTAGATTATATTACTGTTCGCAAATAGTTAAGGATGTGAGATGTTCTAGTTTTATTGAAATGCGACAATTAGCTCAGGATAGGAAAGAGTGGAAGTGCGTGCCCAACCAGTCTTAGGTCTGACGACCTTATGATGATGATGGGGTTGTTAGGAATCGATTGGTCGATACCAGTCACTCAAGATTAATGGATGGAAATAATCCCAATGGTTAATAAAAAATTCTGACACATTTTTCGTCAGATGTCGTTGTATGGATTTACTAATGGTAACTTACTTTAAGTACTTATGTAAGAAAACAGCTTCCAACTTATGAATGATTCATTCATACTACTTGCTAATGCTGGTAGGTAGGAAATCCGTCTTCAGCCTTCTTTTCAGGAATCTTGAGAATGAACGGGTGGTAGTTGAAGTAAAAAGTACGAGACAAACGTTATGAAAAGAGAAGAGAAATGAAAGATTATTTGTGAAATACTACAGCTTCACATTTGCCTAAATGATCCACCAAATCTCAAAGAAACTTGAGTCAGGGGAGACAGACCAGGAATCGAATCGGTGTTAACCCGAATACTCTGAATCTGAGCTAGGCTCCAATGCTCCATGAATCCAATACAAATTAAAGTACTTCATTAAAAAAAGAACCCTTCTGGATGTGTCATTTACACCACCCACTAATGCAGGTGGGCGGGCAGTCCATTACGCTGGCACGTAGGACAGAAGGCCCTCGTCATCCTCCTTTTTAGGAATCTTGAGAACGAAATGTGGTAGTTGAAGTAAGAATTGTGAGACAAACGATGTGACGACAGAAGAGAAATATATACGTATATGTGTGGAATATTACTCCATCAGCATTTGTCTAAATGATCTAAAGAAGCCACAACAATCTTGGGTCAAGGAAGACGGATCTGGAATCATACTTATGTTCGAATACTACGTTACGACCTTATTTATCATTTTCCGTTTTAAATAGATTGACTAGAGGTTAAGATGCTTCTTTAAAAACCATAAACCATCTAACTTAAATAGATTTCATTCGCACTAACTACTAATGCTGGTGGGCAAGCAGTCTACTAAGCCAGCGAATAGAACGGAAGACCTTCTTCATCCTCCTTTTTAGAAATTGTGGGAATAAAAGGATAACGGTTGGAGTAAGGAAGATAGGACGAAGGAAATCAAGAAGAAGAATATTAGTCCTCCAGTTTTAACCGAAATGATCTAAAGATTTAAGAAAATCCACAAAAGACCTGGAACTTGGCCAGGGGAGACAGACCTGGAATAAAATCTATGTCCCCCAGAATACTATACTATGGCCTTATTTCATCATTTCCTTTTTAAATAGATTTACTAGTTGTTAAGGTGCTTATTCATAAAAAACACCTTTCAACTTTTAATGTCTCATTCGCACCAGTTACTAATGTTGGTAGACGGGTAGTCCTTTTGGGCTACGCCGGAGAGTAAGACGAAAGGCCTTCTTCAGCCTCCTTTTTAGAATCGTGAGAATGATTGGGTGGTGGTTGTGATAAGAAAGATGAGGAGGACGGGATGAAGACAGAACGAAGGAAAAAATTATCTGTGGTGTACTACTGCCCCAGATTTACCTAATTGATCCAAGGAAGCCTCAAGAAGATTTTAGACCACAGCAAATGGCTCGAAATCGAACTGGTATTCACCCAAATACTACCCCACAACCTTAATAATTTTCTTCTAACTTTTGGTTGTTTAATTCGCAGTAGCCACCAGTGTTGGTGGACGGGTACAGAAAAGGTCTTCTTCGGCCTCCGTTTTAGGAATCGTGGGAATGAGTGGGTGGTGATTGAAGTAAGAAAGAAAAGAAAAACGATACGAAGATAGAAGTGAACTGAAAGGTTATATATAGATTATTTCTCCACCATCATATGCCTAAATGGTCTAGGGAAGCCGCATACGGGCTTGACCAGGGAAGACGGGACTGGACTTAAACCTATGTTCCCCCCAATACTACACTAGGGCCTTATTTTATTATTCTCCGTTTTAAATAGGTTTACAAGTAGTTATGGTTCTGATTTATAAAAAGCTTCTTCGAACTTTTAGATATTTCATTAGCACCAGCTACTATTATTGGTAGGCGGGCAGTCCTTTTGGGCTACACCGGAGAGTAAGGCGAAAGGCCTTCTTCAGTCTCCTTTTTAGAAATCGTGGGAATGAGTGGGTGGTGGTTGAGGTAAGAAAGATGAGAAGTACGAAGTGAAGACAGAAGAAAAGTGATAGATTATCTGTGACGTACTACTGTCACAGATTTGCCTAAATGATCCAAGGAAGCGAACCGGTGTCCACCCGAATACTACGCTACGACCTTAACCACTTTTCGTTTTAAATGGATTTATTAGAGGTTATGGTGCTTGTTCAAAAAACAGAATCCCTCTGACTTTTGGCTGTTTCATTCGCCCTAGCCACTACTGCTGGTGGACGGGTACAGAAAAGGTTTTCTTCAACCTTCGTTTCAGGAATCGTGGGAATGAATGGATAGTGATCAGAGTAAGAAACAAATAAAAAACGATATGAAGATAGAAGAGAACTGAAAGTTTATACATGGATTATTACCCGCCAGCATATGCCTAAAAGGTCTAGGGAAGCCGCATACGGGCTTGATCAGGGGAGACAGACCTGGAATTAAACCTATGTTCCCCCCCATTACTACACCAAAGCCTTATTTCATTATTCTCCATTTCAAATAGGTTCACAAGTAGTTAAGGTACTTATTTATAAAAAGCTCCCTCGAATTTTTAAATTTTTCATTCGCACCAGCTACTTATGTTGGTAGACTGACAGACCTTTTGGGATACGTCGGAGAGTAAGACGAAAGGCCTTCTTCAGCCTCCTTTTTAGAATCGTGAGAATGATTGGGTGGTTGTGATAAGAAAGAAGAAGGAAAGTAAAAAATTATCTGTGGTGTACTACTGCCCCAGATTTACCTAATTGATCCAAGGAAGCCTCAAAAACAACTTAGACCAGAGCAAATAGCTCGAAATCGAACTGATATTCACCCGAATACTACCCTACAACCTTAATAATTTTCTTCTAACTTTTGGTTGTTTCATTCGCACTAGCGACTACTGCTGGTGGACGGGTACAGAAAAGGTCTTCTTCAGCCTCCGTTTTAGGAATCGTGGGAATGAGTGGGTGGTGATTGAAGTAAGA